AGGACAAGCCCAGGGTCGCCATGATGGCTATGAATTCCTCAGCCACCTTTTACTCTCCTTCCCAAATGTGGCAAGTTGAAGACCCCACTCCCAGAACCAGGATTAAAATCACAAGAAAAGGAGCTTGATGTGCAGCAATGCAAGGGCCTGTCCCTCCCCATGAGAGATCAGGCACAAAACCAACACTACAGTGTAAAACTCTACAAAGGGCCCTTGTAAAAAATGCATGTGTGTGTACAGCAATTTGTTATGCACAATAATTTCCGCTCGAAAGGTTCATTATTTTTTTTTGGCAGGAATATCTTGAGATAGGATGTGGGTGAGCAGCAAGGCCAAAACGAGATAAAGGAATTAGCGCCTGAGTTAGAGTGATGCTGTAAAATTTGATGTAATCTAGAAACGTTGGTCACAACTCTGTGAAAGCTGAGGATGGTTGGAAACATAAACAGTATTTGCTGACAAGAATCAGGGTATCATTTTAACAGCCTAAGACAAATGAGGAATATCTCTGTGCTGGGGAAAGCCACAGTACAAGCTGTGAAAAATCACATGTTTAAGCTGTAACCTTAACTGAATTGTCACAGGGAGCATGTTTTCTCCTTGCACCACCACTGCGCACATTATTTTATGTCATCACTGATCTGATAGTCTTCATAGTGCCATAAGGTCCTTCCTTGTTGTATATAGGCAGAATGTACTACTGATGGTTGTGTGCAAACTGCCGAGAAAGAAAGCAAACCGAGGCAGATCAAGGTTTTCTAGACTTTCTTGTATGTAGATGCAGAAAATTATTTTTAGATGGAAAAAGACATCAAAATGGGAGCTTCAAGGGATTTCTAAAGTTTGGATTAATGCTGTTTAAATGCTTATTTGTGTGTCAAGCACATTTTTCTTCAGCCTTTTCCTTTTCTTGACCTCATGGTCCTTTAGAGTTATTGTAAGTTTTTAGCTATTAAAGCAAGTGCCATCTTTTCCCCCACCACTGATAAAAAGTGATAATCTGGGTATGCGTGTTTTTGCCATTTAAATTCATTTTAGTCATGAAGTGAATTCAAAATAGAATGACAAGTTTTCTGCTGGCCAAAACTTACTTACTTGGCAGCAAGAATGCTTTATTGTAGAAAATGACTATAGTTAAGTGAACTGAATCGAACAGAATGCAGTACATATTATTTTCTGCCTAGCTATTCCTGATCTAGAAATATGGTTTTTTTTTTAAATACAAAGGAAGGAAGCTGTGGTGAATAACATTGGCCAGAGTGGATCCCAGCATGCTCATGAAAACCATCAGCAGTGGTTCTGGTAAACTTGGACTGCCTGTGAGATTTGGGAATTGAAGGCCCATTTTACTCTTCTTTCCAAGTTGATAAGAAGTCAAGTCCTTGGGACTTCAAAATGGGATGCTCCAGGACTTGGCCCTCTCTAATATTTTATTGTCATCTAACATTAAAACTCTGGGAAAGGCCATCCACATCTTTGGATTAGGAATCATGAATAGGTTGATAATACAGTTAGTCCTCAACTCATAATTATAATGGATCTTGCCCATTATAGTCATGAGAGTCATAAAGCAATTCACTATGTGACTGGACCTATTTTTATGACCTTTTTGTAACTGTGACTAAGTGAAGGTTATTACACAAATCTATTGTTCGCTATTGGCCATGTTGGAAGTAAATTGGAAGTAAATGCTGGTTTTGGGCAAAAATATTGCAAATCACATTCATGTGACTGTGGGATGCTGCAAACCACCATAAATGCAGCCAGTTGCTGAGCACCCAAAATGTAGTCATATGACTTGGCAGGGAGCAGCCACTAGAACTTTGGAGCCAGGTTGTAAATTTGACCAGTCATAAGTCAAGGACTACCTGTTTCAAACTAAACAGGAGATATGAAAAAGTCCTGAGGGTCTTCATCTGGAGGTTGCCAGGGATCAGATAGGGCATATTCCAGCAAATGCAAAGTTTTTAGTGATTCAGAAACCTTTTGACATCATGGCCCAGAGGTGGAATTCAGCAGGTTCTGACCAGTCCTGGAGAACCGGTAGTGGAAATTTTGAGTAGTTCAGACTGGCAAATACCACCTCTGACTGAAGATTTTACAGTATCCTTCCCCTGCCACGCCCACCAAGCCACGCCCACAGAACCAGTAGTAACAAAAATTTGAATCCCGCTACTGTCATGGATGTTCCATCTATAATGATAGGATGATGGGATGACACCTGAGGGAGCCAGACGTTCTTCTGGATTCATAGCTTCTGCTGGAATAGCAGATGAAAAATATGACCAAAGAGAGCCTTTGACCAAAGTTGGGTGTATCAGAGGTGGTATTCAGCAGGTTCTGACCAGTCTGGAGAACCGGTAGCGGAAATGGTGAGTAGTTTGGAGAACTGGTGGTAACCTTCCCCTAGGAGTGAGGAGGGAATGGAGATTTTACAGTATCCTTCCCCTGCTACGCCCACCAAGCCATGCCATGCCCACCAAGCCACACCCACAGAACCGGTAGTAAACATTTTTGATTCCCACTACTGGGGTGTACCCATCAGTTGCACTATGTCCTGGACCAGAAGGCACTATAAATATATTTCTGCTAGACTACTACACTTTGCTTTATGTGGAACTGCTCTTGATGATGACTGGGAAGCTGCAGCATTAGCTAGTTTAGCAGAATAACATTCTGCAGAAAGTGCATGGGCTGTTGATAAGACTGCAGGCCCAATTCAAAGTGCTGCCAATTATTTACGAAGCCCTTATGTACCGGGCCCTTGTTATGTTCAGTAGCATCTTCTTCACATACAATCCCCCCACTCTACACCACTCAGTAAAGAGGATGCTCCGGGTACTTTTCCTCAGGGTGCGAGGGGACTGGGACCTGGAGGAACCATATTCTCTGCAATGGAACCTTCTCTCTGGTTCAGCTTATTTACCTGAAGTCAGATATGTCCCTATTCGTGGTGGTGTTTCTCATAACAGCAAAACAGACCCTCTTCAGGAGAGCTTCAGATTTGCTGGATCACAGCAACAGTTTTTATTAAGATTTAGTGCTTTTAATAATTTGTTTTTATTACTATTTTATTGTGTTTGCTGGAAGTTGCCCAGAATTATAAGCCTATCTCCTGAGAACTAAATAAATAAATCTGGAAGTTGTCAGGTCCTGGGCTTTGGCTACAAGGCCCAGCCTCAGTTTCCTCATCGCATCAAGGCCCCTGGCAAGAAATGAGCAGCAAACACACAGGAATAGGAAAACAAGAACAAGTATCCATAGAAGAGAGTATTTGCAGCTCAGGGGTTCTTTGGTGCTTGGTTGTTTTCTTGTTGCCCCTTTCATATAAACAAAGAGCAACCCCACTCCCTTCAAGCACTGATGATGTGACTTAATTTTATTTATTTGTCATATTTAAGAACCACCCAGCTCTTTCACAGGGGGTATCTGGGCAGTGTACAGTAAAACAATTGGGTAATGAAATGTCTGCAGAAAACAACTAGCCTCGGAGAGCACCGAAGAGCCCACACAAGAACAAGTATTGAAAGGTATGGGCTAATAGTATATCTAGCAATCATGTGCGTGGGTGTGTCCATCCTATCTCACTGTGTGGGGAAAAAAACCCTATCTAGGTTGGGATAATGTGCCAAGTTCTCCATTAAAAAAAAAAAAAATCTCAATTTTTGCAATTTCTTTCCGCAGCCACCAGAGGGGAGGAGAAAAGCTTTTAGACCTGATCTCTCTACCCCAATATGTGATTGTCTGAAGGTGGGTGTGTGCTGTAGAAGTTCAGTTATCTGCATTGCCCATGACTTGCATCTTTTGTGTGTACCGAAGGCATGTCCAGAGTTTCATGCGGTGCCCATGAGCAAAGCTCTTTCTCAAAGCGATCCGTGAAACATGATCATGACTCCCCCAGCTTCTCTCCTGACTGAGGGTAAAGCCGTTTCTGCCATAGCTCCTGGGAAGCTATTTGACGGGCAGGCAAAGGCAGAAAACACAATGTGCGAAGAAGCAGATAGATAAATCATCGGAGGCAAAAAAGAAGCAGGCCTGAAAGACGGGACTGCTGAAGTGCTTCCTTTCTCAAGGATTAGGTCATTGCCCAGCCTTTCACTCTCCGCTGTGCCTTTTCTGGAACAGAATATACACCATTTCCCATTCCAGAGCAGAATATTCCCGTATTTAAAAAAAGGGTACAATTTCTACTGCAGAATGATTATGGGCGATCCCAATGCTACCCATGATGCCTCTTGTTTTAAAAGTAAATCCGCAGTTTTAGGGATCCATGGAAAACTCTTCCCCCCGCGCCTCCCTGCTAAGATACAGGTTCATTAATATTAATGCCACCTTATTTCTGCCCTGCTCTTCTGCCCCAAAACGCCGGCTTCATTCATTCAGCTGCTGCGTCTTGTTTCCAACCCCAGAACTAGGAAGAGATGTCGGGAGCTCTTCCTCCTGTCAGGATGGGGCAAGTCCCACACCCGCGCCCAATAACCGCATAACTCTCTCCCCCCCCCCTTTTCCAGAAAAGAGGAAACCCCGTCCCGCGAATCGGTGTGTGTGTGTGTGTCAACAGAGGCAACCCCAACTCACATGTAAGCGCCGCGCCGTCACGGGGGCGCTTCTGGCGGGCGGCACCGGACACCAGATGCCGTCCGGCTTACACAGAGTGGGCCGTGTCGCCTGGATGGGAGATGGGGTGATCGCCCTCCTCCTCCTCTCCCGTCCGGAGCGAGCAGCCTTTGGCAGGACGCGGTGACTGGCTGGGTGGCTCCCTTCCCCACCCCTCACCCCACCGTCGACGGGCTGCAGTGCGGAGTTCTGGGCTGCATGCGAGGCAGAGGGAGGAGCGGGGAGGAGCTTGCCGCTCCCCCCATCCCAGCCCTTCCCCTCCCCCCCCGCCCCAATCCCCGACCGATCGTTTATAAAGCAGCATCCCCGGACCCATCGCCTTTTGCTCCCCGCCGCCCACTGCTCGGACCTGCTCGGAGCCCAGCCCAGCCCAGTTAGCAGCCATGAGCCATTCCAGCAGCATCCGCGCCACCTCCTACCGCCGCACTTTCGGGCCGTCGCCCATGCTGTCGCCGATGCCCTACTCCTCGTCCCGTCTGGCCTCGGGCTCTTCCGCCACGCGGCTGCTGAGCATGCCTTCCGCCGGAGTCTCCCTGCGCTCCTACCGCGGGAGCGGCGGCGGGGGCAGCGCCCTGTTCCTGCGCACCGGCGCGCCGGGGATGGTGGCGCCCCCGCCGCAGCGCTACGCCTACAGCGCCGAGAAGCTGGACTTCTCGGTGGCCGATGCCCTGAACCAGGAGTTCCTGGCCACCCGCAGCAACGAGAAGCAGGAGCTGCAGGAGCTCAACGACCGCTTCGCCAGCTTCATCGAGAAGGTGCGCTACTTGGAGACGCAGAACGCCGCCCTGCTGACCGAGCTGGGCCAGTCCCGCGCCAAGGAGCCCACCCGCGCCTCCGACCTCTTCCAGGACGAGCTACGCGAGCTGCGCCGGCAGGTGGACTCGCTGGGCAAGGACCGCGACCGCCTCCAAGTCGACAGGGACAACCTGGCCGAGGACTTGGCCGCCCTCAAGCAGAGGTTAGTCGCCCCCCCCCCCGAAACGGAGCCCGCGCTGGAGAACTCGGGGTGGGGGTAGTGCGGTGGGGAAATCCAAAGGGCGGTCCCGGTCCTGCCCGGATCCGGGGAATGTCACGAAACTTTGGGGCTTCCCTGTCCGGTTTTAGAAGAGAGGTGGGGGGCAGATGGGTTAAAAGTCTAGAAAATTCGGTCTCTTACATTGGGCCGTCCGATAGAGAGGGAACGCCGGCTTTTTAAATTGGGGTGAACCTGTCCAGCTTGCTAAAAAAAATCATGTCTCTGGAGTGCTAAAAGAGAATGCCTTGAGCATATGCAGAGTGCTTTTCCTAGACCCAAATTCAGAAGGCTCAGGTAACTAACTACTCCCTGTCTTGAAGAAAAGGAAGGATTTCTTGCCAGGGATGGGTCATTAGCCGAGGAGTTGGGATGACTTCCCAAGAGAAGGGTGATTGAGAGATCAGCTGGCCCTGAGAAGGGCCCGGGGGAAAATAAAAAAGCGAACTGTAAAAAAAAATAAAAAATAAAAATGGTCCTCTGCACTTTGTAACATGATGAATAAATTAGTAGGAGCCGAATAATGTATGCCTGATGAATAATGGATGCATAATAATGGATTCTTTTTCTTTGCTGCCTGAGGGTATATAGAAAGCAAATGTGTATTATAGTCCGAATAAAAGAATAACTGCAGAAGAGTCAGAAGACCGGTGTCTTTGCATTGTAGCCTTTTATCCTCTCTGGTGATCAAGGAATCTAATGATTTGGATCCCCTGGGTCAGGAATCCAGCTGATCTCCTGCCTCCAGAAAAAAAAGTCGGGCTGTGTTCCTAAGCAAAAGTAAGCTGCTCTCTGGAAGCTGTAGTGGAAAGATTTTCCTTTGTGGGCAGCTGGGTCCCAGACTCATTCTGGGCCTCTCAAATTGTTGCATTTAGGAAGATGATGATGATGATGAAGAGATAGCTGTCACTCAGACCCTGTGTGACCATAATGAAGAGTTTTAGGATCTCAGGGGTTGAAGTGGAAGGAAGCTGCCCAGCCTTGGACTGGGGTGAAGGAGAGAAGACGCAGATGGAGTAGGTGTGCCGTGCATAGAAAAGAGGTCCTTGAGATGGGGGAAGTAGGGTGTGGTGGGGATGAGTCTGGCAGACATGACGTGATGGGGAGGAGGGAGGAGGAGGCTGTCAAAGGGCAGCAAGGCAAGAAAACCAGGCGGTCTGGAAAAGAGGAGGCGGGGCTAAATATGGAGCGGGGCGGGAGAGAAGGGTGGGAAGTGGGAAGAGGGAGGAACCTTCTGGTCCAGATGGAACTCCACCCCTTGTTTGGTTTGGTGACATCTGGGAAGCCCAGGGAAGGGATGTAGCAGAGGAGCCCCTCTCTTGTTGGAGACCTCTCTGAATGGCTGTCAGAGGACATGGAGGAATCAATGCACGTTGGCCAAAGGAAAGAGCAATGGCAATATTGGCGGCCAGGCTGCAAACTCCAGGGACCAAACAGTAACAAGGGAGAGCCAGTGGCCTTGCAGGAGCCTGCTTCTTTCAGCCGAACCGTTTTTCTGCTTTTTCATTTATTTTTCACACATATTTATATTCAAGTGGAAGAGAAGCGTGACTGTGTTCCCTTGGGCATTGTGAAGTGTGGCTGGTTCTCCTCCAAGTGGCAGGGCTCGTGCTGGGGCAGATGGGGAGGTGGGAAGCAGGAAAGAAGAGATGAACATTAGATGCCAAATGTCGGAGGAGAGGCAGCTAGACTCTTTTAGACATACAAACTATTATGGTGCACCCTCTTTTCCAGTATGTTCTCCACCTTCTTCCCCCATCTTACTTATCCTCTTGGGAAAAAAGAAGAAGTTATCCTCCAAAATCCACATTTTTCAGATGCTTTGGTTTTACCCAAAATAGTCTTATAGATTATTAATTCTGCAAGGAGCACGCAATGGTTTCTAAAGTCAAATTTCAAACTACTTAACTTCATTCCAGCTGCATCTCTGCTCTTTCCCATTTCTAGTGCTTTCTTCTTTTTACTTAGAGGTCAGAGAATCTGTGAAGATGGTTGTTGCTTATTTTTAACAGTGCCCACAATACAGAACAATTATTTTAGGTTGCAGAGATGTTTATGTAATCTTTTAATATCACATTCATAGGTTAAGAATGAGGTGTGATCAATGTCTAGAAGCCAGAATGCGGCCTGAATCTTAATTTGTATAATACATTTGCCAAGCTGTTATATTGTGTTTGGTTCCTGAAAATGGAAAACCGAGAAGAGGTGGAATATTATTTCTGGTATCAATAAGGTGTTTAATTATGTGGGTTAGGACTGAGTTTGCTTAAAAGTTGTGGGCGAAATGAAAAAAAAAACCGACCAATTCTGTAGCATTCTCGCCCAATTTCTGCTTTGGGGCTGCTCTCTGCCCTCTACAGGCTGGATGAGGAAATGCACAAGCGAGAAGATGCTGAAAACAACCTGGTTCTCTTTCGCAAGGTGAGCCAAGCCTCTTCTGGACTATAGAAGAGCACGAGAGGAGGGAATGGCATGCTTGGCTCTCACCCCCCCTTACGACACCCCTCCCTGCACGGGTCCTTTCAGATTCACCCTGCCACGTGCAGAGAGCCATGCTCTTTTGTTTTCTTGTTTACATGGCAACGCATGCATGCATCCACATTTGTTTCCATGGGTTCGTATGCTTTAAGCCGCAAGCTTAAATCTCTGTTTGGCAGCTGTGTAATCTCCCGATTGTGCTGAAAGCATGCTCTGTCCCTGGAATCCCAGGCCAGGAGCAGGCCAGCCGACCCCTACCCCTCTTTCCATTCTCTGCTGCCCATTTTACTTCTTAAATTAACGTGGAAAATGGCGGGCAACTTGCTGGGATTCTGATCAGCCTTCCTTCCTTTCCCACCCTCCACCCCGCTCCCTCCTGTCCCCCCGTGATAGGATGTGGACGATGCCACCCTTTCACGCCTGGAACTGGAGCGCAAGATCGAGTCTCTCATGGATGAAATTGAATTCCTCAAGAAATTGCACGAGGAGGTAAGGCGTAGTAATGGTCTGGCGTGCAACTGAGGCCCCTTTCACTGGCTAATCAATTTGGATTTTTTGAACAGCCGTAGACCTATGTGAAAGAGGGCCATTTGGGGGCTGCTGCAAGAAATCACCCTGAAAGTAGTGTATCTTCCCAAAGGTGACGGTGTCAGTCGTGGAGGTACCATAGGTGGTGCCACAATGAGCAAAGCAGGAGCCTCAAGAAGGATGGTGGGGGATAAATGTAGCCAGGATAGGAAATCCCATGGCTTCTAGATCCTGCAATCCCATCTGTTATGCTTGAGAGTTAGAGATGCTGGGAGCTGAAAGTTCAACAGCATTTGGAAGATGACAAGTTCCCTGCCCTTGGGCATGTGATTATTATTATATATATTTTTAAGGCATCCCTGCAGCAAAGATGTTGCTTCTGGGCCACCTAGTGGTTCCTGGCAGGAAAACATCTGCATCTCTCCAGCCCCACCCTTGGATGTCTGGGCTGGATGACTGGTCTGCACTGTAGTTTTGCAGGGCGGATTCACCTGAGAAAGTAATGCAAGTGGCTGACGGCTGCTCTTGCACTTGGATGCTCAGTGGGAATATATCTTTTTTTTTGGGCGGGGGGGGGGGGGGGGGGGTGTTCTGTTCCATGTGGGCAGTGATGTTATGTCTGAGCAGTTCTCTGTCAAAATTAACTTCTCCGTGCTGTGCTCTTCGCCACTGAATTATGGTCCCTAACCACAACTACCTTCCATTGAGGACCTGCATACTGCACGAGTCAAAAAGAGGGCTGTGAAAATATCTACAGACCCCTCACATCCTGGACATAAATTGTTTCAACTCCTACCCTCAAAACAATGCTATAGAGCACTGCACACCAGAACAACTAGACACAAGAACAGTTTTTCCCCGAACGCCATCACTCCGCTAAACAAATAATTCCCTCAACACTATCCAACTATTTACAAAGTCTGCATTACTATTACTGTTAATCTTCTCATCACTCCTTTTCACCCATCCCCTCCCACTTATGACTGTATGACTGTAACCTTGCTGCTTGTATCCTTATGATTTATATGGACTGTTCCCTAGTATGATTTGATTGCTGATTGTATCCTCTGACTATCATTAAGTGTTTGTACCTTATGATTCTTGACTCTTGACGGATGGATCGTTTCTTTTATGTACACTGAGAGCATATTCACCAAAGACAAATTACTTGTGTGTCCAATCACACTTGGCCAATATTCTGTTATTCTATTCTATTCTATTCTATTCTATTCTATTCTATTCTATTCTAATTCTAATTCTAATTCTAATTCTAATTCTAATTCTAATTCTAATTCTATTCTGTGTGTGTAGTATGGCAGCATATGTGATTGTTACCCTATTAAGCACCTTTCTTGGTGTGTCTGACAACCTCTCTCCCCCTCCCCCAATGCATGCAGGAGCTGAACGACATGCAAGTGAGCATCCACAGCCAGCAGCAGATGCAAGTGGAGGTGGAGCAGGCTAAGCCGGATCTGACTGCCGCCCTGAAAGAGATCCGCACTCAGTATGAAAGCATTGCGGTCAAGAACCTGCAGGAGGCTGAGGAGTGGTACAAATCCAAGGTGCCTAAATTATGGGGGGGAGGAGGGGAGATAAGAAGAAGACGGGGTTACCGCGCGATTAACAGGATGCCTTCATGAAATGTAGAGAGCAAGAAAGAAGACCTCAACGGGAATATGCAGGATGCATTATTGATTTTTATTAGATTTAGATGCCGCCCTGTCTCACTGTCCCATGGCAAGAGAGGCTGGAGGGTTTGTTTTTTTAAGTCCAGGACAAAGAGATTACATTTGGAGTAGTAGGCACCTCTGTAATTCACGGAGCAGTGTTTCTCCCAAGCTTAGCCACTTTGAGATGAGATGAATTCCCAGAATTCCCCAGCCAGTAGGGGGACCCCTAACACTGAATAAACGCTATCTCTTTTGAAGCATCAAGAAAATAGCTGTTTAGTGGAAGAGGAATGTTCTTATTACCGTAAAACTTATTGATATAGCAAAATAATAAACCACTTAGGGTACAGGTTGACCCCCTCCTACTTCTGGAGGGTTTACTTGACATGTGGCATAACGCCTCATCGTCGCTCTTTAGATGCATGCACTGCTGTAAGACAGTGTGGCTTGGTTGGTGCTTGTCATGAGTGAGTTCCATTAATAATGTAAATATAGTTTGTGGTGTGGGTCAAAGAAAGTAGAGGGACAGCCCTAAAGCAGACTGATGATGCTGGCTTCCTGTGTATCAGATTTTCCTGACTGAGGGAAATCCAACCACTGCTGTAGAATGTTACAGGTAATCCTTGACTTACATGACCAGTTGCTTAGCAACTGTTTGAAATTATGACAGACCCTGAAAAAAAAAATTGTGAGTCTGTTCTGACATTTGCCCCTCCTCCACAATCACATGACTTACAGTTTTCCCCCTCTTGCAGCCAAGCCAGCCTGCATTTATTAGGGCCGTTTGCAGCCCCCCACAGTCACGTGACTGTGATTTATGATGCACGTGTCAGAAAACGGGTTTACTTTTGATTTCCAGCAAAACCAAGCATAGCGAACGATAGGTTTGCTTAACAACCACCACAAGAAAGATCATAATATTGGGTCACATGGCAATCCACTTTACAATCGTCATGACTTATGACTTTAATTGCGGGCTGAATTACGGTTGTAACTTGAGGATTGCCTGTATAAAGAATGGGTCCAATGCTGTGGCTATTCTGTGAGATTTCCACAGAGGGAAAAGAGGCTCTTGAGAAGAGTTCTGTGTGGACCTTGGGCTTGTGTTGTCAATTCCCCTCCAGCTAGATAATTGTGAATGAGTTCAGGGTGGGTCTGCTTAGGAGTTGTTTTGGGGTTCCTTCTTTCCTTTCTCTTGATGTTCCCAAATTCTTGGCTTGTGAAGCAATGATTAGAATGCAGTATTGCAGGTTAATTCTGCATTTCACTGCCAGGAGTTCGATTCTCACCAGGCTCAAGGTTGACTCAGCCTTCCATCCTTCTGAGATTGGTAAAATGAGGACCCAGATTGTTAAGGAGCAATATGTTACCTCCATAAATCATTTGGAGAGGGCTGTAAAGCACCGTAGAGCAGTGTGATGACCTGGAGCATGGCACAAAGGCAACACAGTCAGATAATCAGTAGCTTCAACTTTGCCCCCAATGTCCTGGTCACCTCCTGGCTGGAGAAAAACTCTCTCAGGAACAGTCTTTGGCTGCAGAGAGTCAAGTCCAAAATGTGGTCAACAAAAACTGTAACTATAAGTCCAATCAAGGCAAGATGAGGTAATTGGTCCGGCAGGGCAGGAGAAGGAATTCCAGACATGAAGGAACGGCTGTAATTCAACACAGTTGGGAGGTTGCCAGGAACGCAGATCACCAAAGTCAACACAAGATTAACTCACATTTGTTCCCAGCAGCATTCATGTCTTTTAAACTCTGTTCCCAGGTGTGACTAATGAAGGGAATCAGGGCCCTTTCCTTCCCCGTAAGCCATTCCCCAGTTTCCTCCACAGCCAACGGAGCCACACTCCCCCTCCCTGTCAGCTGTTCATCTTCCTCCTCGAATTCAGACTCCGAGAGGGGCACGACAAGCAGTATATCAGTCTAAAAGTGCTACTGCTATGGCTGTTCTTTGCAGTTTGCTGACCTGTCAGATGCAGCCAATCGGAATCACGAGGCCCTTCGCCAGGCCAAACAGGAGATGAACGAATCTCGCCGTCAGATCCAGACCCTGACCTGTGAGGTTGATGGACTCAAAGGAACGGTGAGTAAAACACTCCCCCTGCTCTCAACCTGGGTCAGTAGCAAATGGGTGGCCAAAGAACAAGAGGGAAAATCACAGGTCAGCTGACAATGATGTTTTAGCTTCCCCATTCCTTGCTGTGCATGGTGAAATCCCAAAGGAAAGCTTGATTACAGCAATCAAATTATGTCCACCACTTAGGCCATTTGCAGACTCTGGCTATGACCAGCAAAAACCCTGTATGATATTAGGATCAGGGATTTTGAGAAGCCACATTCCTTCACCTGAGCCTGCCTGGGGTTTTGAGATCTTCAGTTAGAAAGCACCTTGGCTCTGCTTTATCCTCACTGGAGCAAGTTTGATAGGAATGCAGAAAGTGCCTTCTTGGTGATGGCTTCTCCCAAGCTCTGGAATCACTAAATTGACTCTGCTTTCTGCAACTTCCTGGTAGTGGCAAAGACCTTGTTCAGGCAGTTTTGCGGGCCTTAGGATGATTTGTCAGTAACTGAAATAGGCTTGGATAAGTAGCTGTTGTTCATTTTTTAAAAATTAAGTTGTATTTTAATCAATTTTTTGTACTTGGTTGTTGGTAGCCTCGAGCACCATTTATGATGGAAAGGCAGACTGTAAATGCAATAAATACAATAAAACGAAGAGGAGAAGCCACCTTCAGTGCTCTCAAGTTATCTGGACGTAACTGTTTTTAAAGTCTTGTTGCGACTTGCTCTTCCTCTTGCTAGAATGAAGCCTTGCTGAGACAGATGCGAGATCTTGAGGACCAATATGGGGCTGAGGTGGGCTCCTACCAAGAGACAGTGGGGCGGCTGGAGCAGGAGATCCAGCACATGAAGGAAGAGATGGCTCGGCACCTCCGGGAGTACCAGGACCTGCTGAATGTCAAGATGGCTCTTGATATTGAAATTGCCACCTACCGCAAACTGTTGGAAGGAGAGGAAAGTAGGTAGGTCAACAGTGGCCAGATCCTGCCCTGCTCATCTTTTAGGTTCATGGGCACATTGTGAATGTCATGGGTGCCACCGCTGAGTGGCTACTGCAGGCAGCAGGGTAAGACACAAAACACTGGAAAATGTAAATTGGTTTTGGGGGAGACAAGGACTTACCCAAGAAACTGAGCATGAAGCAGACGTGAAGGTTGAGTCACAAAGTTTATTCATTGGGCGCCACCATTTTCTGCTCCAACACAACATTTGTGTTGGTGGGTGCGGTCTCTTGAAAGACCTTCCATCTAGCCTTCTGCAATACGTTGCCCTCCAGAAGCCTTGGGATTTGCAATTTTAAGAGGTCCTAATCAGCACAGACAGGGACCACCAACTGTGTGGGAGGCAGTTCTAATGCACCTAGAGAGCACCAGGTTGCAGAAGGTTGACCATCCCAAAATTTCCTGTCCCCACCCAACCCATTTTCTTTCTCTGAAACTTTAATTCAAACAAATGAGTTCTGCTCCTCACTCCTAAAAGTGCCCAGTTTTTTTCTTTTCCTAACCTTCCTGATAGGTAGGCACTTCCCTCTGTTTCCACCTAACTTGCTCTAATGCTCTCCCTTCCATCTCCTCTCAGCATTTTCATATCTGGGCACGTGACCATCAGACCAGGTGTATGTGGGAAAGTCTCTGGAACAGGGGTGTCCAACCTTGGCAACTTGAAGACTTATAGACTTCAACTCCCAGAATTCCTCAGCCAACTTTGCCAGCTGAGGAATTCTGGGAATTGAAGTCCACAAGTCTTAAATTTGCCAAGGTTGGAGACCTGCTCTGGAATATAGGCCAGTCTTCTTTTGTGGGATGCCTGGCATGTATGTCAGAGAGGAGGAGGGGTGAGCACCGGAAAGTTAATCTACAGCTGTCTTGGTTACAGCTACAGCATTGGAAAAGATACTTATTTTTACTTAGTTCTGAACAAACTTTTATAGGAGTATGTGAGGAGGAAGGTGGCCTTCTCCTTTTCTAGGAAGGATGCAGAAAAGCCATTTAAATGGAAAAGTTTGGAAATTAATTTGTAGAAGTTTCTGTAATGTTTACTGGCCTGTATGTTCCCTGCAGGATTGCAGTGCCTGTCCAATCCATGGCATCTTTCAGCTTCAGACATGCAGGTAAGCCAATTAGCCAGCATGGGTCCTCAATGAACCCGCATGTTTTGGGTTGTTTGACAAAGTTGTGGGCTTCTGAAAGAGATGGTAGCACTGGCATAGATGTCAGCAATATTCTGGTTGGACCCAAGCATCTCATTGGCCATATTTTGCACACACTTTCCCCCCGCCCTTACTGAGCAATAATTTGACGGGAACAAACTTGGTTTTCAAAGTTCCCTTATCTCAAGTTGTGCAGGCAATCATGCCTTAGTCTAAGTTGCTTTTTCTTGGAAAGAAACCCCAAGGCTCCTTTGTTCCTCCCCCACCTCTCCACTGTCCTTTCTTTCTAATTTCTCCCAGCTGGTAGCCAAAAGTCTTTCATGCCGGAAGTGTGAGTGAAAGAAGGCAGCTGATCTGCTGGGTGTTTGGGAGTTGTAGCCCTCAGTCCCCTGCATGACCCTGGATAGGGAAGGAGAGAGGGGCCTTGAATGCTGAGCCTTTTCTCCCTCAATCCTCCCTCTTCCTCAGTTTCAGAGCCGGATCCAAGTGTAGAGAGCCACACCCGGAAGACGGTGCTGATCAAAACCATTGAAACCCAGGATGGAGAGGCAAGTCAATGACTTGTTCAGATTTGCATGACAGAGGAACTCGGAGCAGAGGTGTGATTTTTAAGCTGTGGCGATTGGACCTAAGCCTAGGCCCTAGGGTAGGGGTCTTTAAACTTGGCAACTTTAAGACTTGTGGACTTCAACTCCCAGAATTCCTAACCTAACATGACTGGAGGAGGAATTCTGGGAGTTGAAGTCCACAAGTCTGATGACCCTTTGCCTTAGGGCAGGGGTCCCCAACCACCGGTCCCCGGACGGTGGATCATTTTTTACCAGGCCACAAAGCTTGGGCGCCGCCATCTTGTTTCGACAGCGCTTCCGGGTTTTCGGTTGGAAAGTGCTTCCAGGTTTTCAGTTGGAAAGCGCCGTTTGGGTGCTCACGCTTTAGTTTTGTCGAAGGGGGGGGGCGGCTTCGAACGAAGAGCCGTCCCAATGGTGGTAGAGTCTCGCGTTACTCAGGTACCGGTCCGTGGAAGAATAAATAATCGTGAAACCGGTCCCTGGTTCAAAAAAGGTTGGGGGCCACTGCCCTTGGGCATAGCAAAAAAACCTCCAGAGGCCAAATTAGGGGTTTGCTGTTATTTCAGTCACTCAAAAGAAGCCTGACTTCATAAAATTCCCAAGGGGCACCAGGTTGGGGAAGGATTGCCCTCTGCTGCTCTCACGGCTTGGCCTTTTCTCTTTCCCTGCAGGTGGTGACCGAATCAAGGAAGGAGCAGAGAGCTGAGACAGAGAAGTGAGGCTGGCCACCCCGGCAAGGCCCCCTGGGCCACTGAGAGAGGCACTTAGCTCACCTCTTTGCAAACGTCCCAGTCGCAGATCCCTTCTTCCCTCACTAAGCCACACTGGCCTTATTTACGATGGTGATGGTGACGATACCTCTTACCACTGGCAGCCTTCCCACACTGTTCCAGGCTTCCTGAACCACCCCTGTCTGCCCTTCGGACCGTACTCTGTTCACAGCCTGGTGGTAGTCCCAGCAATAGCCACCAATGATCTTGGGAGTGGAGATGGCTTCCCCCTGCTCTTGTCTTCCATCGCCTCCTACCTCTTTGTATCACATTCCTTCTCATCTCTCCCCGCAAAGAGCCCTTCTCCAACCAGTACCCCCCAAACCAAGCTGCCTTCCTGTAAAGTACCACTCACAAAGCCAGCCCACCCTAGGAACCAATTTACCAGGTGTGTTTAGGTTGAATCTAAAGGCTGTGGCCTTCCAGTTGTTTTGGAATTAAAACTCCCAGCCCCCTAAAAATCATACAGAGTGTTGCTGGCACTTGTAGTTTAGCAATAGCTGGAAGGTCCCAGGATCCCCACCACTGCCAAACAGTTCGATGGCTGCAGGTTGGCAAGCTCCACCAACCTGCAAGGCCCACTAAGCACACCATCTTGGAAGCACCAAAGAAGGCCAGGAGCTTGCTCATAACCTTGTTTTACTGCTCTTGTTGAATCTAAACAGTTCTATGTGCTGGTCACAGAGAAAACCCCCTCATGGTTTACAACAGGGGCCTCCAACCTTGGCAACTTTAAGCTTGGAGGACTTCCACTCTCAGAATTCTCCAGCCAGCAAAGCTGGTTGGGGAATTTCGGGAGTGGAAGTCCACCAGGCTTAAAGTTGCCCAGGTTGGAGACCCCTGGTTTACAAAGATTCCCAAGAGAATCACGATAGGAACTTGCTTTATCAAGATGCAATAGGTTGGGCTTCCCAATTGGTTCTCACTTCTGTGAACTTACGTTGAGAGGGTGCACCGTCAGCTTCAGGTCATCTGTACTGACGGGGAGAATAGCACTGGCCAACTTTATTTTAAGGTTGGCTAGGTAATGCAACTAAAGCATTTTAAACATTAAATGATAACCAGCATTAATTTCCTCAGTTGTCCAGCCCCAATCTGGTTCATTCCAGATGTGTTGACTTCAATTCTCCTAATTCCTAAGCAGCATGATGCTAGCTGGGGCTGTGAGAGTTAAATGCATCAAGGGAATGTAGGTGGAGACTACTACTTCAGATCTTCTCAAACAAGCTCCCAAATGAAGTCATATTAAAAAAAAAGATGATTCACTGTCTTTTATTGTTTAAAGCAAATTTTGTAAGGGAAGCTTAAAAAAAAATATCTGCAGAATAAGCCTTCTGACCGTTGGTCCGTTGTTTCCCAATACTGAAGGGTGCTAGTGGTAATTTTTAGAAACTGATCTGGTAGGTGTTTACTCAGAAGCCTCAAGCCTTTCTTAACCATTTGACTTCCTTCCATTCAAAAATGATTTTTTATTGCACTTTTAAAAGTGATGTCAACTTTGCCTTCTGAGACATAAGTGAAGCTAGAAAGCTGCCTTACACTTGAAATTGTGAGTCACAGAACAGAACATTTTCCCGTTCAGCTTTTTAATGCTCCTATGTCCAATAAGCAACCTTTTTTCTGCTCCCTTTCAGAGAGAAAGGACCAGAACAGGGTGAGACCGCCATGGAATTCCCCTTCATCTGCATGGCATATAATTAAGGGTTGCGTTGTGCAGGCAAAGAAAGAAGATGAGCAACTCTAGAAAACTGAAAAACATCAAACAATCCCCTTTAATTCACAGGGTCAAACAAACTGCGGAACAAAAAAAAAAAGGAAAAAAAATGCCTACTTCCAGTGGTGCTGACTCATGGCCTTAATAAACAGCGATGCCATCATGCGTGAAAAGCACCCAAGACTCCTGGCTAGCAGAAATGGTCACAAAGCTCTCAGTGCATCTCCTGATTCCCTTGTCTATGATCTTGAGAACCCCAGGGACTGTGTGAATGCAATCTCAGTTGGGTGCCTAATGGCCAAAATGGGAGTAGCATGCCCTCCATTTGATTTAATATAATCCCAAATGGCAAAACACTTTTGAAAGGCTATAGCGAAGTCCTATCTTACCTTCTCATCCTATTGTCCTAGGGTCAGAAAAGAGACTGGACAGTCACTTGTCTGGAATGGTCTAGGGTCTCCTGGTTGAGCAGGGGGTTGGACTAGAAGACCTCCAAGGTCCCTTCCAGCTCGGTTCTGATTCTGTCATGTCCTTTGTCTACTTATGGCCCTCAGAAATTATTGCCTATCTTTGCTTCATGTGCATCTGTGGCTTCTCATAAGAGATAGCACCAACCGCTTCTTGCCAGTCTGTCCATTTTTAATCAAATCCAGCTTTTTTCCCCCTCAGATGGACATCTTTCACACGTTGTCTTTTCTTTCCGCTTATCTTGCTTTGATATTCCAGACTTCCTCTTTTCAGATAGGGTACAGTGACCATTGCATTTCTGCTTCTAACTTGATTTTTGTCATCTCTGAAGATAGGCCAGGACAGGAAGCAGAGTCCACAACTCAGACTACAGGAACTCTACTAAGTTATATTAACAGATTCTTGAAAGACTGACAGGTTTTTTTTCCTCTCTGCTTCTGCTGTACCAAAGAGAATCTACATGGGCCTGGGTTTCCTCACCTCCCATTTTTCACCTTGAAGTAAACAAATTGATGTTTACTCAACTATTCTTGTTTTTGTTTTTCAAGTTCTATTTTCATATTTCTGTACATTCTCGATCTTACTGGAATAAAGAAATCTAGCATAGAGCTTTCTACCTTAAACTCATCTTGACTCATCTTGATAAGAAGTCTCGTCGCCGCATTTCTCCAGATTTATTCCGGAAAGAAGGAAACTTCAGGGAAAGATGCTTCTCTGTGGACGTTTGGTTCATCCCCCCAGTTCTCTCAGACCAAGACCAGCCAACTTTTTAATGGATGGGGCTGATACTTATTTTTATTTTAAGGGACAGGGAATGCAGGGAAATTACAGAAAGGATGAAGCTAATTTTTTAAAGGCATTCTTTTGGCTCGAAGTGCCATCTTTGTTTGGTTTGAATTGCTACCAAATCGTACGGTGCAAGGAGTCGTGAAATGGTACTTGAGCTCCTTATAATCTACACATGGATCATAGGATGGATTGGATTATACTTGTCTTTGGAAATAGGAATTTCTGAAACAGAAAATCTCACTTAACCTTGATGACTTTTTTTAGTGAGTTAGTAGCTGAAAGTAGTCTCTATGATTATACTTTCTCCTTTGATCTCCCCGCCCCTCTCCTGCCGCATCACTGTTATTTATTCTTGATTTCTTAAACCTCATTAATGGCCCAGTAGGGATGTTAATTCTTTCCTTGAAAATCGGTAAATGCTAAAGTTACGGAAATTCTTGGAATCTGGTCTAATAGAAGTTACTTTAATATCAGGTTTAAATTGCTTAGTTGAGGTTAGGTAACCTCTGCCACATAGAAGCATTTCTGATCATGATTGCTTACAGTGGACTGTCCAGTTTCCCTCCACTTTGAGAGATAAAAAGACCAGGGAAATTATCAAAAAAGGCATATTGGGGGATAAAAAAAAAGACCCTCCCCCTCGACTTCCCATGACTTCCCGGCACTGAGTACTGCCCCTTGGTGGCCAAAGGGGTAACTCACCTTCGATAAAAACTAACTTATCTGATTCAAGACAGATTTGAAAACTGAACAGAAGTTCACAAGTCTTCAAAATATTTTCCCAATAATAGTTGAGGACCTCGGTGCTATTGAGATAGCTTTACCTGTCTTCTTCTGTATTACTCCAGAGGCTTTTGTTTCCAGTCTTTCAGATCTTTTGTAACTTTTTCCCCTCTGCCAACTTTGTAATTTTTCTGTCCTTTTTCTGTCCCTGTCCTGTTGTTAAAAATCAGAAATTGAACGGGGACCCTATTACAGCTTTATTCAAGTTTACTTGTAAGAATTGGAGGAAACTTTCAAGATTGTGTTTCCCTGATCCCATTTTGCAACAAGTTCAGTTACAGCTTACTTCAACTATGCTACCTGCTGCACACCTTCAGGATCAGTAATTTCTAGTTGACTTAAGGCACAGATGTCTCTGGTCATAAAGTTGCCAACTGCCAAATCCAATTTAATGATTCTGAGGGAAACTAGGACACTGCCTTTCTGGCTATTTTATCTTTTTACCTATATTTTTCCTTCTCTGTTGAGGAACAATTGTAAAAGTCTCAGTAGCTACAGTACACCAGAGCAGGAAAAGAAAAAGTTGATGACACAGGAAGTACACAATGTCATGTTATCTAATGGATCTTCCCACCACAAGTCTGGCTCATCAGCCTATGTCCAGGCAGAATCTTACTTTCATTTCGTCCTTCCAATGTTTGCTTTTTATAGCAGATAGTTTAGCATTTTATTTTTTGTGAGTGTGAAACAACTTTATTATATGCTATCTACACAAAATTAAATTTTAGACCATTATTGAAGTTGGCTTTCATTGTAAAATACAAGAAATTTTCCCCATGGGGAGCATACCGTTTCCCCCCTTTCCTAGCCAGACTAATCCTACAAATTAACTAGGAACAATAAAGCATGATTTGATAGTAAGCAAGATGGCTTAAAATGTTGAGAAAACAACAGCCTTGTTTCCTTGCACAGAAGCACAGGTGCGTAAATCTTGCCAGCTTTAAAACACTTAAGCTTGAAAGTGGCTATTCCGTGACTCGGGATGTGTTCCAAGCTTGAGATTTCTGGCAAGGTAGGAACGGCATCAGAACAACTTCAACAAGTTTTGATGTTGCCATATTTTAATCAGTTTTACTTCTTGGCCTTCCAGCCTGCATTCCCTTGTAGAGATCAGCATACAATACCCATTTCTGTACAAGGTGGAGGGACCTAAATAATATTTCCTGTGATTGGTTCCTTATAAATGGCTCTGGCA